TGATGTGCGTACCATGTTTCATCTCCACGTGTACCGCTGTTAGCAAGTTTGAGGAGGATGAAGAAATTTTAAAGAAAAGTGCCTGAGGCTATTTGTTGTTGTGGTCGTCATGGAAACAATGTTACACACATGCGCTCCAAGTTTCATCTCCATGCGTGCTATAGTTAGCGAGTTTGAGGAGTGAAGAAGTAATTTTAAAGAAAAGTGCCTGAGGCTATTTGTTGTTGTGGTCGTCATGGAAACGATGTTACACATATACGTACCAAGTTTCATCTCCATGTTTGATACCGTTAGCGAGTTTGAGGATTGAAGAAGTAACTTTAAAGAAAAGTGCCTGAGGCTATTTGTTGTTGTGGTCGTCATAGAAACGACGTAATACACATACGCTCCCTCCATGCGTGCTACAGTTAGCAAGTTTGAGGAGTGAAGGAATAATTTTAGAGAAAAGTGCCTGAGGCTATTTGTTGTTGTGGTCGTCATGGAAACGACGTAATACACATACGCTCCCTCCATGCGTGCTACAGTTAGCAAGTTTGAGGAGTGAAGGAGCAATTTTAGAGAAAAGTGCCTGAGGCTATTTGTTGTTGTGGTCTTCATGGAAACAATGTTACACACATGAGCTCCAAGTTTCACCTCCATGCGTGCTATAGTTAGCGAGTTTGAGGAGTGAAGAAGTAATTTTAAAGAAAAGTGCCTGAGGCTATTTGTTGTTGTGGTCGTCATGGAAATGATGTAATACACATGCGCTCCAAGTTTCACCTCCATGCGTGCTACAGTTAGCAAGTTTGAGGAGTGAAGAAGTGATATTGCCTGAGGCTTTTTCAAACAAAATGCAGTCGTCATGGAAACATGTAATTGTCAAGGGAATGATATAATAGGCATACATACCAAGTTTCATCTCTATGCGTGCTACCGTTGGAAAGTTTGGGGAGTGAAGAAGTAAATTTAAAGAAAAGTGCCTGAGGCTATTTGTTGTTGTGGTCGTCATGGAAACGATGTAATACACATGCGCTCCAAGTTTCACCTCCATGCGTGCTATAGTTAGCGAGTTTGAGGAGTGAAGAAGTAATTTTAAAGAAAAGTGCCTGAGGCTATTTGTTGTTGTGGTCGTCATGGAAACAATGTTACACACATGCGCTCCAAGTTTCACCTCCATGCGTGCTATAGTTAGCGAGTTTGAGGAGTGAAGAAGTAATTTTAAAGAAAAGTGCCTGAGGCTATTTGTTGTTGTGGTCGTCATGGAAACGATGTAATACACATGCGCTCCAAGTTTCACCTCCATGCGTGCTACAGTTAGCAAGTTTGAGGAGTGAAGAAGTGGTTTTAAAGAAAATTGCCTGAGGCTTTTTCAAACAAAATGCAGTCGTCATGGAAACATGTAATTGTCATGGGAATGATATAATAGGCATACATACCAAGTTTCATCTCTATGCGTGCTACCGTTGGAAAGTTTGAGGAGTGAAGAAGTAAATTTAAAGAAAAGTGCCTGAGGCTAGTTGTTGTTGTTTACAAACATGTATTGTTGTGATTTTGATGTTGGTAATTGAATACATTATGTCTACAATGTTTCGTTCACATAGCTCTTACCATTTGTGAGTTATACTGACACATGCGATCCCTTTATAATGTATTGCCTGGGGCTATTTGTTGTTGTTTACAGTAAACAATGTTGTTTACAAAGAAATAAGTATGACCAGTCTCTTCGGGTGACGGATATCTACATTCTTACAAAATTTTATTACTATATGTTGTTTCGTTTTTGAGTTATGGGTGTTGAATCTGAAGAAGGAGAAGGAGAAGATGAACAAAACTCCCTATCATAGCCCCATACATCTATGATGCTAGGTACCATGTCAATCCCTATATACTAAGTACTACCGTACTTAGTGATCACACGTATGGGCCAGTGTGCCCAAATCTGGATTTTTGTCAAACTTGTATTATACGTTTCTAACAGATCGCAGTTGCGTTCCTACAGAAGCGATTGGCAATGCAAGGTGCTCCTCCACGCATTCTCTATGGGTGAGAAAACCAGTGGCAGGCGCAGGATGGGCGTAGCCCCGGCGTGGCGAGCGAAGAGCTCGCAATCTCCCTCCGTAGATGTGCGTATACGGCAAAAGCATCGCTAAATCAAGCCAAGGGAAGATTGGAGGAGTTAGGGGTAGATGTACCATTCCTTATATACATACTGTGGCGACCTCAGGAGAGGTCGTGTCTCACTCTATCCTCGCAAGATCACGCCATGTTCTCTCCCGTGCAACGTTGACTAAGCGCAGCTTCTCCCTGCCGACCGTCTCAGAAGTAAAACGCTGTCTGGGCGAGGCATTCACCGTCACCGAAAATCATCGCGACATACTCATGAATAATCTTTGCAAAATGTTTTTGGGCATTGGCTCAGTCACGTGAATTATTGCGTAACTACGCTGGCTATACATAGTCATCAGTAGGGCGAGCCATTATTATTAGGTAGGTATTATTCAGGTATTACAGCTACCAACTATCACGTCAAAAATTGCAGACACACTCAAAAGCACATTCAGTATCCATGGCCACAAAACTCAAAGGTCGGTGGATAGCTAGGTTGTCTCCTTACCACTTTACATTGAGCTCGAAGACCTCAAAATTACAAAGTTAACCGTTACAACCAGCCATTGCAGACATCTAGATCTATAACAACCACTCACTGACTCACCTTATAATAGGATCACGTAACTCGACAGCCAACGCTGCAGAAAAAAAACTGCACTTCTGCTCTCAACTGTCGGCCGTAACCGAAGCTGCGCCCAATAAGGGCGGCCAGGCCGTTTCCGGCCGAGGGCTCTCCCGGAAACTGATTGGCATTCCAAGACCCCGCCCCACTGCAAGGGTTTGCGCATGAGCACGTGCGCCAAAACCCACCCCCACGGGTGGCGGATCGACGTCGTCAATCGCAGGTCGCGTCGGACACGGTCACGTTAATCGTATAAGAATGTCAACACAGACGTAGAATTCGCTTGAAACAAAAAGAACCAAAGTAAGGTACTGTGCATTTAGCTAAGGTCTCTCGTTGTGAGTGTGACAGAGTTTAACTTTCCGATCGGTAGGGGGTCGCTGGTGATAAAGTTTCCGTATCTTATTTACATATTACATAGATTCAAATCATCTCGCTTGGTTTTGCTACAGCACGCTCTTTTATTTCCCCATTTAACGGGGAAGAAATTGCTGTCAGCATATACAACGACGCAATCTTCTGGCGGCGACGACGATGTCGTCACACCACGTGATCTTGTCCCACACCCCTTCTCTAGATGTATGTATACTGGGGGCGTGCTGTGTTAGTCGACGCTTATTCTGGCGCTACAGGATACGAAAGAGGCGGCCTATTAGCGATACCAGCGGCTTCAGAACTACGCGAGCCTGAAATATAAAGAGGCGATTTCCCTGAAACGACTGCTTTCGAGAGATATGCCGTGAAAGCAAGCGAAAAGCCAATGGCTATTATTATTATTGTTATTATCACATGCCAATAATAAGGCACAAAAAAGAAAGAAGAGATGATGAAATAAGGAGTTAAGAACATGATAATTTAAAAAGAAGCACTTCAAATGGCGATACAGGACCAAAAACATAACGGATAGAACGAATAATTTGGGCAACATTTGTAACATGATCAGTATATGTTTCATTTTGTAAGAGTAAATGACCAAACATGAAATTATGTCCAACGAAGGTATAAGCTAAAAAACATGAGTCATGAAATATACGCGAGACAAATGACGAATTTGACATAAGGCCAGAATTAAAAAATTTAATAAATCTTCCATAAATTATTCGAAGTATGTTTGTAGTCTTAGCAACACAGTGTACTATGGAAACATAACAACGGGAGGGCAAGTGCCAAACTTTTCGCATGATCTTGTTCAGAGCAGTTTGAAGAGAGTACAAATTCTTTGACCCTAAATGCCAAAGGCAACAACCATAAAGGGCGAGACAATATAACTTAACAAGAAAACATTTGACATAACTATCAGCAAAATAGAAAGTACAGAGAGAACAATTAGCTTTTTGGTTCAGATCTTTGAGTGCACGGGTTACATCAGGTCCATCGTTTAGGTCAAAGGATAGCACATGTCCAAGATGTATGACTTCATTTTTATATGGAAGAGCAGTGTTGTTGAATGTGATCAGTGGTAAAAAGCGACAGTTTTTGCAAGGACGAAAACAAATAAGCTGAGTTTTACTAGCATTGAACAACAAACCATGATCATGAGCATATAAACTGCAAATATCCAACATCCTGCATGCATAATCGCACTGGGTTGCCGACCGCGACATGATCCGCTCGCTCTGTGTAGAGGCACAAGAAGTCACAACTAAGGGCGTGTATCAACTAGTGTAGCTAGCCTGTGTCAGACTCACCGCGAGCTACTGGCGTAGAGACCGCATACAAGCGGTACCGCGCATGCGCAGTGCGCCGAGGGTTGCACTTTATTTACGACGCACGCGCACGCGCACTAGTGTCGTTCCCGGATCATCATCACGTGTGGGCGTGCGTTGGGGAGATCGACAATCAACTGTGGGCAGGCTATATAATATAGTCCGCAGATTTTGGTAGACGGTGTCGCGAAGGCCTTCGAGACTACTAAGGCCGCCTGACGCTTAGGGATTTCATCGGCTTACAGAAAGGTAACACTGATCATTCAGCACGACAAAGCTTCCTGTTGTACGTGGACGAGCGCCTTCTCGGAGTCGGGTGTTGCTCCGCTAAGCTTGGCTTACCTTAGCTACGGTGCCTAAACTAGCTTTCTCTGATGCAATGTGTACTATGTGTCATGGATTGAACTCTTGATCCAGGCATGAGAGACTACCGGTAGTTATTCGCAAAGTCGGTGTAGCTAAAGCGATCACATATCCGATCGTCAATGAGGGTTCTCAAAGCTTAACCACTATTGCTCTACTCTCAGCAACTCATGATAAAGCTTTTGACAGTGTTCCAAACAAGAAATAAGTTGTCTCGGATTGGTTTAAAATTTGTGTACAGTTTCAATGATATCTGTTTTCACACTTGGATCCCAAGTGACTACACTGATTGTCCATTCTGGTATCCCTTGCCAGCCACTTTCTCAATAGCTCCATTCTGACCAAGAGGAGCTGAGTATCTGCACATTACCCTGTGTGTGGCACAATAATACTGATAAACAAGAAAGAGTTCGTGGATTTAAATGAGGGCCTGAATTAGCAACTTGCACTTGTAGCTATACTGTAGGTACCTGTGCATAACAACACCAGAAAGGGAATTGATTCCACAAGAATATATGCTTGTTGAGTAAAAGCTAACACTAGTTGCATGTATGGAATTATAATGCAGTGCTCAAGTAAAACTGTATAAAAGAAATCTCACCAGACTTTGTCTGAGCATTCCAGGGTGTCACTGATCCATAATCCCACCGCATCTGACACATAGTCCTTCACTTCGTGTGGTGTTGTACTTGCACTAGTTGACTGAATCCAGAGCTCAATTAGAACTGGATTCATTCACACATTATATTTTGCAAGTAGCTATAGCACATCAAGCCATAAAGACAATGAGAAAGAAAGAACCACCACAGCCACGACCACATCCACAAAATATGCATATAGACAAAAACTGTACAAATAATTATAGTATCATCTCAAGGCATACCAAAACAAGTTGTCATAGTAGAGTTGACACAATGGGGATAGCTAATGTTTTGATAATTGGTGGGAACAGAGTAGATGGCACAAATATGGTGAATTTACGTAGTGCACACGTCAAGCGCAATGGTCTAACCCGTCAATGGACCCAGTTCCTTTGTGTTACAGGCTGACTGCATCAGTGAGTAGCATTTAGAGTGGATACACGTCCCCCGACCATGGTCTGCTGAACGTGCTTAGTCTGATCGAAGTAGCTAAGCCGGTGAAGATTATGGATATTGGCTTTTTTTGTCAGAAACATCGCCTTTAGACCTTTACTCTCATAGGTCTTAAGCTGCTCTTAAGCTACTGGTATTGCTCGCTGCAGACATAACGTAGTCAGACACGCACCAAACAGACCAAGTATTATTATAGGTAACCCTCGCTGAGCATGAACACCGAGGGTTAAGAATGGCAAACCTGTGTTAGTTGGCTCGGTGACACCCCAAGGCCACTGTGATCCTGACATGGGTTTTGTGATACAAAAGCACTTGTGGTCAGACCCATCTGAACCATTAAGGAAATGTGCACTCAGAGTCCACTGAAAGCTCTTCGAATCCTACATAATGCCCAATGGTAGTTATACTCATCCTGTTAGCCATCACTAATAATTGAAACTAACAGCAAAGTTCATAGAAATGCCCCAACTTACTTCGTACAAACTTGTAAGAAGCTGCTCTAAGTGCTCGTCGTGGATGTTGCCGAGGTTACACGAGCATTGCAGGATTACAGCCACCATGTCAGGATTCGCTCCGCTGTCGCCATCGCTCCCTGTGGCTGAATGTTGCACCTTGGCAACGGGTGACTTCGAGAGACCTGTTACTCCCGTCGGTGTGTCGCTCTTTGTTAGTGGAGACGCTGTCCCTGACATACGCCGCCGCTGTCGAGACAAGCAGTTTCCACCCATTGTCTAGATGGCGCCGTTCAGCGCATGCGCTTCAACATGGTGGTGGGAAATATATATTATATCCACACATAAAGCACGATTACTGTATAGAATCATATCCATTGTGTAGCCTAGTAGAAAACACACAGGAAAGAAAAAGCCTATCCTTGTGATATTTACACATACGAAAACACACAGCAGAGAAAGATATTATAGAAAGTACAAATACAGGTAAACCTGCAGCAAGCGTCCAAGGGAATACTTTATCCACCCAGTGGTGTGGCTCGTTACACGATGTCAGATGCAGGCTTTCAGATCCCACTCTTGACGCAAGTGATTCATCCTTCATTAGGCGTGCAGACAAAGTTGTTGATACAATTTCAGGTGTCGTCGTTCTGAGATAAAGTGGTGCCTTACAGATTGTTACGTATTCATCATGAGAGAAAAGTTCCCCGGGTAGTGAAAAATCTGTCGAATTGTCATACTGGAAGAAATGTGTCGTACCATAGTCACTCCCATTAACGTATTTCTGAAGAATCGTGATGTTTGAGTAAAATGTTGTGTTTCCTGGAATATCGACTCCGATGAAGTGATACGCACTCTGGGAAACGGTGAATGGTCTTTCAGCTCCCCAGCCGTGGAAGCACTGCTGTTTACTGGGAGGGATTTGTATGCTGTCGTGAAGTATTGAATTTTCTGCTCCTTGACCGTTAGCGAAGTTTACGGCGTCTTTATCCGAAGTGAACATGTAAAACTTTGCAGTCACGTCACCGATCCCGTTGTTGACGATGCAGCAGTAGCCGTATATCACTGAACCAGTCCACGTGTAAATTTGCCATCCTCGTAGAAGAATCTGTTGGCGTGCGCTAAAATTTCCCGAATCTAGGACTGGGGGCTGTAGCTTTGAATAGAAGACTAAATCGGTTTTTTTTACTAACCAAGCTTGGATGACCCCAAGAAGTGTGTCGCCTTTTTGTTGATTTCCGCTCAGTTGTATAGTTCCATAGTACAAAGAGTTTGCTTCTCCGCAATCCACGCTGTCATACGTTAGGACGTAGTCAGTGGAGCAGGTGGTGCTACGGTGAAGCACAATGCGGTATGCACCGAACGAACCACAAATGAAAAGAGAAGAGAGAAGTACAAGTGTTAGAAAGGCGAAAACGCTGATGTATATAGAACAACAACGGCATTTCTGAATATCTGTGTGTGAAAAAGTATATATTTGTTAGAGCCACAGAAATATTTAGAGGTAATATTCACCAGTGTAAGGCTGGGTGTAGAAACGGATTGGGTCACTCTCTATACAGTCGCCAGTGCTGTATTCAGCTCTCAGCCTGATTAAATGATTCGTACCAGCTTTAAGGTCGGGTATAGCCTTCGATTGAGGCTGATTATGAGACCGTGTGTTGCTATTTGGTGAATATGGCTCTTTAAAGTTTTTAAAAGTTTCTTCTTCCCTACTATCACCTCCGTCATGCTGCGGTACCTCTTTTACTAAATACTTGATACCCACAAGCCTAAGGCCTTCGCAAGCATAACTCTCTCCTTTCTGTAGTATTAGGGGTTCACTGATGATTGCAGTAGCTAAATTTTGCTGTACGTTCTCCTCTGGAACATCGATCATTGGTTTCACTGCAATGGGAAAAGTCAGATTACATCCCCATCAATTTTAATGAATAAAGATTAATGTTACCATCATTATCAGGTGGAGTGGTGATTTGTATGTCTTTGCTTTTCTTGGGCCGAAGTCCCTTGCTAACAAAATGGGTCTCGACACAAATGGAGTAGGTGGCCCCTCCCGCTAGCTCAATCTCCATACTTCGCAGGTTCGGATTAGTGACAGCAAACGGGACTGGAAGCTCACTTCTCTCTGGATCAGTTCGTGTGGCCTGGACTTCGAAAGACTTGACATTTAGTAGAGGATTGTCGTTTTCATATGACCAGTCAATTCTGTACACAGATTTTGAGTCCCGGTTCCTAAGTTTAGTCAATGTTACATTTTGAAGATCAGCAGCCTGCAACTCTGTGAGATAAAAACTGGTACATGCAGCATCTATATAGACGTGTGATAAACATACCACAATTAAGATGTTCCTTCATTGCATCTCTTTCAAATCCATCGTTGTACCGAGCAGTGACAGTAACTCTGTATTGAGTTGAAGGTTGCAGGTTGAAAATCTTGTACTGCTTTGCTGATGATGCAACTTTCATTTCCTCGACTATTTCCTGGTTATCTTCTGCTATCACATGAACGAAGAAATCTGACAGTAGTGGAGTGCAGTTATCGGGAAATTCCCATTTAACTTGCGCTTCATTGGAACCAGAGATTTCTTGCATGACTTCAAGCTTTGTCGGAGAGCTTCGATCTGTAGAATAACAAGTTGTTTGCTTCTACTAACCTGAGTTGTTAGCTTTATTCCGCTGCACTATGCATGTGCAAATGTATAGCTAATTATCAATGGGCTGGGCCGTACCAAGCTGCTAATTAACCCTCGGCGCGCATGCGCAGCGAGGGTTACGGTAGTCGTTCTGTGTGTCTGTCGGTCTGTCTGTCTGTCTGTCTGTCTGTCTGTGTGTGTGTCTGTTACCACGTTTTCTGCCACCACGCGCAACAAACCGGCCAAAAAGCGACGCCAACAGGTTCAGTGCTACACTGGCTTCATTTTGAAAATGGCGATTTTCGTAAAACTACTGCGTTCAAGAGTTATGGCGTGAAACCCAAGTGAACAAGCCAATATGCTAATTAGCACAGGCTTACCTTACCTCGACCAAGTCCGCTCGCTCTGAAGGCAAAATAAGTCACAACGAAGGGCGTGTATCGACTCCCGCATGCTATCTACTACTGCTAGCCCGTGTCAGACTCTCCACGAGCAAGCAACCAGCAGTCGAGTAAACGCATACTAATAGCCCAGCCCATCATTGAGCGGTACCGCGCATGTGCAGTTCGCCGAGGGTTTGCACTTTAGTGCTTTTCATTTTAAAAAGGACTAGAAGCAAATGTTCACTGTATTTTACTGTAAACCCTTTGCTGTGCATGTGTTAAAAACTCGGTAGCAAGGTAGAAAGGCAAGGCAAGAAAAAGAGCTGCCCTGGGCACTCTGCTTTCCAGGCAAGCGCTCAACCAACTGAGCTACCAGGGCATTTCAGCTGGTAGGGGTTTGAATAACGCAACACAGCAGAAAGGCAAATGTCAAACCACTGTGCTATGACATAGTATTTTCTCACTCAGTATGTAGGAGCAGAACGGGGTAATTAAACCACCAAAGACGCCCAAATCTAAACTGAGGTATCATATTATGTCAACAACTAGGTAGCGAGGTAGAAAGCTAACAAATCAACTACATCCATGTATCAAGAACATCCTAGATGACCTAGTGCTAGAAGAGCAGTAACAACAGACTAAACACCTACACAAACACACACAAACCAAGTAGTCTTAATACTGCAACACTTTGCTACATGCACATCTTAGATTAAACAAACCTGTGTGATGAATTTCTATGTTGCAACACTTTTCATCACCTTCTTTATAGACAGCAACCACTGACAACTTATGTTTTTCAGAGGGACGCAGATTCCTGAGCTGGTGTTGGTTTTCCTCTTTGGTGACCCTCTCGTCAAAGACACTTCCCTTGCCCTCCACTTCTGCAGTGACTCTGAAGTACGAGAGATCCTTTTTTGGATGAGGAAAGGACCATGTCAATGTGGCTTTTGGCGACCCACTGTATTCTGGGATAAATTTTAATTCCTCTGGAGAAGGGAGATCTGAAAGAAGCAATAATAATGAATTTTTTTATTAGCTTTTAGAACTACACAAACCTGTATGGTTATATTCCACACTATTTTCTGTTTTCTGGCCATCCCGATAAACAGCAAAGACAGTTATAACATGTTTCTTCAGCGGTAGCAATCGCCCCACTGTTGTCGCTAATCGGTCTGCGAAAAGAAAACAATTACTTGTCAATTATTTGATGGTTAATGGATAATCACCATTGGTGACTTTTTGGAAGAACAAAAGCTCCTCATCTGCTTTCATGGCCACTTCAAAACGATCGAGGTCTGACAGTGCTGCACTGTACTTCCATGTTACATGTGCGCTGGGAGAACCAGGATACTGCTGCATGACCACAATGTTTGATGGTGACGTGCGACCTGAAAACAAATAGGATAGTTTACTGAAGGATCAGGGAACATAAGTTATTTACGTGGCGTAGTAAAGGTGCAAAATCCACTTCTGGCCATCACCCCATCCTTGTATACTGCAAAAACTCTTGCCGTGTATTCTGTGTTAGGGAACAAGACCAGTGACAGTAGCCATTAGCTCATTGGGAGGTATGGGGTTAGAAATTATATCTTGATAGAATTCGTCAGAGGAGACTTCGACAATGAACTCAGCGACACGCGGCTCCACTGTTGCATCAAATGTAAGATGAATATTTGTAGAAAGGACTGAAGAGCTGGCATGTACGCTGGTTGGAAAAATTCGAGCTGCGAGGAGGGAATAAAAACACTAAAAGAACCCAAATCAGGTGAATTTACTTACCAATTCCCTGGCTCTCGGCAAGAAGATTACACTTTCCCATTAGCTTATCTTCATACACGAGCATTTGAGTGAGATGCTCTTGCTCAATCATTTTGACAACCGCAGAACGTACGGTTACTAGCAGGTCACGGAGCGATTCATTATTTGTGGGTGCAAATTTTACGAAACAATAGGTCATAAGTCCGCATCCAGTTTTCACGTCGTAGTACGCCTTCAGGTTACAAGCAGTAGAATTGACCACGAGGGTGTTGGTTGACTGGGGATACTGCCCTGCCGCAATCCAGCGCTTGTGACCATCGACCGATTCTACGGTGCAACTACTAACTAAGCGGCAGCAGTCAAAGATGAAAATCTTAAAAACATTTAAATTTTCTGAACGAATTGACTGAAAGCAGGAGATGATGTCACTTCGGCTAATAAATTTTCCGTCAGCAACAAGGATCGTCTCATCGTCTCCATGACCGAAGTGATAGAATATCACACGGGAATAACTATCAGGTAGGATCACCGTCTTTACTTGGTTGAAGAGGTAAAGAATATGGGATTTCGTTACGTTCTCTCCCACAACGACAGTTAGATAACCAAGCTGAGTTTCGAGGCAGTATCTCATTTTCTGAATGGCGGTGCAGTTCTCAATGTAATCTTCTGTACCTGGCGTCCCAGTACAGGCACTAAGGAAAACAAGACCAGTCTTGCCTGGGTTTGCTTTAAGCAAATTGGGTAAATCTGGAGGTGAGGTATATGGACTGGTATAAAAGCATTTACTTAAGTGTATTAACAAGACTACCTAAAAGTTACTTGCATTAACGGCCCCTGAAACTCATTGTGTAAACTGCATTCACCTACTTGAAGCTATATGTTAGACCCAGTGAAGTTATGGGTCCAGGTAAAGTTTACTTCAATTAACATGAAACCTACAAAGATATCCCAATGTGTATATTATAATACAAAATGCGAGCATAATGTACAGCAGTGCACTAAGTCACCCAATGACTAATGCAGACAAGAGACATGCCTCTCTAATGCTGATGTTGCACATTCTCAGCCATACTTCGCTGACAAAAGTGGAAAAGGCAACATGCCTATACACATTTGCAGTTTGCAACCTATGCTGTCTGTGCATTGTACCTAAATTACTTAAGTCACATGCCGTGTCTGAATCCCCAAAACTACACCTGTTTACCGAAACTAGGAAATTCCACAGCGGTTGTACTTTGGCCTAGTTGTATATAGTACTCTACAACATGCAGCGTAATGCAGTTGTTTATGCTCTTCCAGCGGCCCAGGGAGATACCCAGGGAAAGGCCGTGCATAATTCGATATTCATTGTCAAGTGGGAGTATCGAGTGGAAGTAATGGTATTGCACAATCCAAACTCACCATAATAAGGGTATGGCTGTATTTGGCTTTGGCTTTTCGTAGGGCTCTCGCTGCTTCTATTACCATGGAAATCAGGTTGCTGGCTCTTGGTTGAAACTGAAAATTAAAGACAGAGAGAGAAAAAAAGACAATTAGTAGTTGCTTTCTGTTAAACCATTGCCAATTTTATACTTTATACCTGGTGGTTGAGATACTGTCATGCATTTATACCTGGTGGTTGAGGAGGTCCAGATTCAATTGTAACGACCGGTACTCTTCTATCATGACCTGCAGAAGAGTCTTGGTTTGGAGTTTCTTGTTGTACTGCCGCATTGTTGGTGCTACTTCTTCGAACTGCAAGAAATGAACTTGTTCCGTCACTAAGCACATAAATAGATAGCATTCACAATGAATTAATACCTTGAATGTAATTGGTATTTCCAGCAACAAGTTCACTAGCTTGATCGTTAGTTGGTAGTTCGGATGGGCTACTTATTACCGGCGTAGAATCTGTTCAGAGACAAACACAGGGCAAAAAGTTAGCTAGCAAGCATCCTTCGTCTTTAGCTAAATATAACCTGATTGAGGTTCATTCTGCCGTTCCTTGCAGTTATCTTCAGACGCCATCGTAATGGCACAGTTTCGTCGATTTTCTGCAGGTGTGTGATGCGATCCGCGATCACGGGATGGAAACACGTGAGCCGCAACGCAATGAAACACCTGGCGCGCGCGCACGCCTGGCCTGCGCACACACACACACGGGCGCGGTCACATGATTATGTTGTAATTAAGTGGTTGCCGGGGGAGGATCGGTGGGTTGGGACGTTTGGTGTTGGGTCAGGCGCACCGACGGCGCGAAGAGTCGCCGGCTTCCACCTGTTGTGGTGAATTCTATTCAGATGGCCGGGGGTCTAGCGGCAATGGCTCTGGACGAGGATGATTGGAGATATAAAACGATGTGTAAGGGGTGTTTCTGCTGTGTTATAATATCATACTTTTGAAATAACATATCTGGTCGTTCTATGGTCGTCATGCAGACCAACATCCAGTAGAATCAACTGAATGTCGTTCTGTGCATCAAGCAACTCCAGCTTCCAGAACAGAAGAAGTCGTTATTGGGTCACTCTTCTCGTCTAATTCGTCACTACAACTACCGTCTTCCCTCTTGAGACCTAAGATGTCACCAGTCATTGAAGAGTCAACCTCATTCGCCTCTATTCATGGTAAAAGTAGCATAATATGATACTTGATGTAAGACAATAGTATGCCCATATCAATGAAATATGGAAGCGAAGTCAGCCAACACAAACCCAAAGTATGTATAAACAAGGTCATGTTTGTGCATGTATGCAGGCTCCCTGAAGAATGTCAACAACCCGTCACCAGTAAACGAGACCACTCCCTTAATGATGCCCTGTGATGAACATACCACATCAAACACAACAATGGCACGTACTGATGGTGAGGCTGTCATTAATAATGCGGTGTTGCTATTTCAAACTCTCTCCCTATTAGAAAAGTATGTGAAAAGGAACTGCAGTATGAAAAGGTTAACGTTATGCTGCTGCATAGGAACAACGGTGGCAATATTACTGGTTTTACTTACGCTAACCGTGACACTCGTTTACGAGAAAAAACCACTCAATAACTCAGGGAACACAGCTGTACTTCAGAACGAAAACGATACAATACTAGCAGTAAAGACAAGTGCCATGAGAACCAGCAAATTGTCGCTTCAACTCATACTCCGGGAGAGTCAACCACTACATGTTGTAAATATCTACTCGAATCGCTGCAAGAATCTCAAAACTCACTCCTCGGTGTTAAATTCTTCGGGAACTTTCTCCGTTCACAGAGCTGTTCCGATATTGTCCCCAACGTACCTGGTGTCTGGATCAGTCATTCACATCAATAGCTATGTCTTGAACGCATCCGTTATTACAGCCCAGATCGAGCTCTACGTCTTTCGTGGACTAAGTGACCTTGAAACCTACGGTACCAATCTCCAAGACAGTGTGTACAAAGCCACAGTATACATAAAGGGCTCTGGAGTCCAAAACACTTCGACGTTTGTCAACTACACAACACCAACAACTGACTACTATTTTCTTGTTGTGGATTCGACCGCCTCCATATACGCCCAGTTCGACATCAACATAAACAGAAAGTACTACGACCCAGCAGACTATAAACAATCCTGTGAAATCCACGACAGCAATGTGTGTGATTTGTCCTACCACACTTCGTTTCAAGATACACAAGAGTGTGTATTAGCACATGCGGTGTATGTACCAGGGGCTCAATGGCTGCCTGCAGAGATTCAGATCACAGAGGAGCCTCAGAGGTTTACGAAAACAGCTGTAATAGTGATGTCATGTGTTGGGGGATCCTGTGCACTCTCCCTCTTTACTATCACTTTTTGTGGGTTTTATTGTTTGTGTAAGAGGCCACAAAGGAAGTAACATAGTACTCACCTTTTCACCCCATGTTTTCTCAGAAACAACTTTATCTTGTATGGTTTATCTGTCTATGCAAAACAACTTTCCTTTAAAAGTGTATCTGTCTATGCGATAAACTCCGGCTGCAATGTTAGGTTCAAACGTTAAACAAGCAACCTATTAGCCTTTACTCGCTCAATTAATCGTAGGGTGTGCACAAAGCACCTTTTTTGCACAGTGATAATACTGGACATGCAGAAATTATGGTCAGTTGCCCCACCTATGATAAAGGTTGCTATATATAATTTTCCACTTTAACACTTGCTTGCAACACGTAAACACCACTATATATAATCATTGTGGGATATAATGCGTAAATTACACACATTTATATAATGGTGCGGTTGAGTTAGCTACCAAGTCAATGAAGACAGTCTTTAACCCTACAGCTACTTGTTTATATTGAGAAGGTATATACATCAGGGCTATCTACTGAAAACTCTCAGTTAAAGTAGTCCAAAGGGGACACTGTGGAAAACTGTTGACTAACTAATTAGCTACTGCCACCTACTCCACCACAATATTTTTCTTTGTCTGTAATCTGCCTGCTGGTAACAGATATCCTGCAAAGATATGACAGTTTTCTTTGAGTCATGCATTATAATATAGAAAAAAGGCAAACATCGTACCACACTTTTTGGTCGCATGGGCAGAAAAACGCCTGTATAGCTTCAAAGACAGCTTTTCTCAGGTCTGGGAGATCGTCATAAGCCAAGTTACCTCCAGACATTAGAATGAGCTCAGCAACGACGGAAGGAGTGGGGCAGTCAGCCCTATCAGGCCAGGGTAAATCAGTAGACGTTGAGGCTTGCAGTGTAACGCAGCACAGTGGTCCTTGGTAGGGATCAAAACATGTCGTCCCGTTGGCTGTAATGGATTCTTGTGCTTGTTGTGAGAGTACGAATGTCCACTGGTAGACAACACCACGCGTGCTCTGCACCAATGCAAAAAGGTACTAGAAGTTAATAGTATCTTGCTTACCTAGCAATACTTACTTCTTAGTCTAAGCAACAGACAATACTTTGCTACGACTATAGATATAGCTCGCTAGCTAGTTATTACCTTCCAATTACGAAGGCGCTCTGTAAAACCTTTGATATTTGCGCTTCCACTAATGCTCGAGGAGCAGTCAACTCTCAGTGTCAGGAGATCAGAGATCATTGCCTTGGGGCTGCACACTTCAGCCTCAGCCTGCGTCATCTTTCCCACCCGATTCAGTTGGGTCCGCGCGCTGAGTTAGTAATGACGCATGCGCGATTTGATTCCTGGGCTAATTAGGGGAGGTTGTTTCCGGCGCGGTTGGATCGGCAATGGCAGGCACTCCGCAGAGTCTGTTTGTCTCGATCCAGTACCCACAAGCCATTGGGACCCTCAGTGAAAGCACGCTGGACGAATTACTAAGCTCCATACAGCAAGTAAGCCTCGTAGACTAACACACTAGTCGTTCAGAAAGACAACTTTTCGACAGAGTCAACCACTGTACGGCTACGAGTGTTCTCTATGTACTCTAACGGCTCCTGCCGGAGAGAGCGTGCCTGTGAACACCCCTTCACTCTACTGCAAGAAAGCACCACCCTACGTTACTACAAAGACAGGTAATGTCATACTTTTGTGTTGTAGTATATAATACGTAAGTATACCAGTAAAAAATGGTGGAACAATAAATTCATGGAGCGGTTTATTCACTGTAGATGAGTTGCTTCCACTCATTCTTGTGGAGCTAACCTTTGCAGTAGCAGTGTCTTCAGTCGATGCTGATATCATAGTATCAACCATAGATGGACTGATACGTCAACACTTGGTTCCAGAGAAAAGCAATGTCAGGTATGTATAATGGGCACTTGTATAATGATGATGCAACATCAGATATCTATCTTGTGTTCTGTTTCTTCAGCATAAAGATATTGGTGACCAGTTTGAGTGGTGGACCATCGCAGAAGGGAATGTTTACAGCTAACTCTGGTCACTTACCTCCACCTTATTATCATGTCTACGACAAGACTTTACACAGAGCAAACCATTCTGTGGTGATACTGCTGGCAATCTTGTGCCTCGGTATTCTGCTGCTTAATTTTGCCATCAATTTTCATTTTTTTCAATGAATAAAGTTTAGCTATTATTTGCCAAAGCGCCATGCAACTAAGAGTCCCTTTCCCGGAAGCTGAGTGGCCTGAGGGTTACGAAGCCACACCTACGAGCGCTTAGGCAAAAGTGTAGCTAGGCTACGATGGAGAACGACGGAGGGGATACGCGTTTTTTCGGAGAAGGTGTATCGGAAAGGGCGTCTGCCACTTTTGACAGCCAAAATTATCCTGCTCCAACTGAAGTGAGCGAACATGGGGTAGATCCTGAAGTCAGGCCGCCCGATAACCACCCGACCCCAGTGCAGGAGCAGGGTCGAGCAAAAGGTGCTGAGCAACGGGGTAGGTGCATAGCTAAGAAATACACAACCATCCATCTAAATCATTTATTCGCTATCATTATAGTGCCCGAAATCAGTTTAACAGCACGGAACCGCCAATCATCCTCGAGTCAACCCGTGACCAAAGGTTAGGCGTCCTGTCTGGCGCTGTTGTCTTGCTAGCCAGTATAATAATTATAGATCCTCCTGGTCGTATATACCTCACTTTTTGCGCGATTGTCTGGCCCGCGAGACAGGGCAATATATTGGGAAATAATGATTGCAAGAAGCTAGCTATAGCGTGTATTTCTCACTAAGCTATTTTGTCGTCTCTTAGCTGAACACGATCCAGAAGGAAAGAACGCCATTAGAGGTTATGGGGGCACAAGAGGCCCTGGTGCCCTTCCTGATGGCACTAATGGTAGCATGCTCAGCAGCCCAGATCAGCATGAGATCATATACATGTAGCACATTCTTGGAATATCTGCCTATATAGAATAACTATGCAAAATACATGTATATACATGCATGAGATACTACCAATATCAGAGTAGTCTACAAGGGCACTCAGACTGAGAATGGAACCGAGAAGACCAATTTCGGTCAGAAGTCGATCCCAGGCCTAGTTACAATTAGCCCAGTCACTGAGAACTAGCCAGAACTTCTTGACAAAAGCTGGTCTCCCCATTCACTTCTACGCTACTACAACTGGTCCCCGCCTATCCAGGCTGCATTTACTGGTAGCCATGCGAATGGATGTGGTATATATCCACCAGAGACCATCAGAGTTTCTAGCTAGCCATACATGTAGCTACATTCACCCTGAGAAGGGAGCAGGGATAACCAACTCAGTTTGAGTACGCATGTAGAAGGGCAAGGATTGAATTGCACGGAGTATTAAGCTATCAACAAGACTACACACTATGTGAATGCTAACATAGATGCAATGCTTTTATTCCTACAGCTCAAGGACGAAAATGCACATTGCTGTAAAATGTGTTTGGCAGGACTTCTGCTTCTCTTTGCCTTTAGCGTTGCTGTTGCACTCACTCCCCTCACGTTTACAAGCATGCTCCTCAAACATAATAATCAGTGGTGGGAATCAACTGGCACCATGGAACTGTTGCAAAGTGACACGATACTGGCATACAAAGGTAAACCTCCGGTACAACTTATAGCAACGGTTGAAAACAGGCAATCCACAAAGTTCAATGTGAGCCTTCTTTCAGTAAACTGTGAGGAACTTGTTGTTCATGAATTGTATGTCAATGTTTCCGACCTTCATTTGTATTTCACGACTGAATATCCCACAAAGTTACCCCCTGGCTACAACCACTTTGAGTTGGAATCATATCTGAAGTATTTTATAACACTGGGTGGTGCACCTAATACATCGGAGTTGATAATGAGGATTTTTAGCAACACACTTGATGCTGATCAGTATGTTAGTCACCATACCAACCAATCTTCCCAGAAAAAAGCTGTGTTTGAACAGATATTTAAGGCAAATGAACCAAACAGAGTGGATTATGAACCCGCTGTAGCTAGCTACTACATCCCTACTTTTGTTGCTCCGGCTGGAACAGCTGTAAACATCTCACGTTACGTCAGACGGAAATACTATGTATTCACTGACTATGTACAAACGTACACTGAACGCTGCCAGTTAAACTCTACAGAAGTTTCGTGCTATTTCGACCCTTCAAACGGCCCTGATATTTGTATTATTGCTAACTACGCACAAACAAGCTCCACAAATGCACCACGAATCCTTTTGAAAGCTTCCAACGCTAGAAGCAAAGATGAATACACTATCTCTTCTCATTTGACAGTTTTCTATGTGTCGCTGAGCATTTCTATACTGAGTTTCTTGGTTTTCGTGGGAGTTTGTGTTTGCTTGTGTTTGAAATGTCACAAAGACTGCAAAGGTCGTAATGGTGCCTGGCAGCCACTCCCTATGGATGAGTGTGGAGTCTCTAATAATGACAGTGTTTCCAAATCATTTACATGACTGCGTGCATAAAAGAACTCCTTTCATGTGCTATTATTGTTGTTGTGTAAATTAATATCTATGAGTCATTACTACAGCAAGGTGGATACGTGTAAACTGTGGCTGGAGTTGATATCAGAAAATGAATACTGTAAAAGATATGATAATATTCAAAGTGAGGCATGCACGAAGACACAATGAAAACATAGCCACTTTTATCTGACACAATCTATAATAGTATGTGGGTTAGCTTTCATGCATGGGAAACTCTTATATATAACTCTTATACACACTGCATACCATAACATTATATTAAAGATGTTTAACCTTTCTGCTGAAGAAATACCTGAAATTGAGTGATCTTTGTGAAAGAATACGATCTTGAATGGCAGAGCTGATGCAATAGCAGGCAGCATTAACAAACCCATCGTCATCACCAAGAACCCAACTTGTGAACATTTCCACCACAATAGTGGGGTTTAGTTTGTCTGAACCAGTAGCTGCACATCAGCAGAAAGTATGAGATAGCTGCATGTTTTCTGTAGCTATAAATGTTTTTTGACAATGTGTTGTGAAAGTCATTCTCATTTGGAGTGAGCTTTCACTGCTATGCATTCATTCAACATTGAAAGTATTTTGTGCCCTAGTGTAAACTAGTTGTGCTCTAGAGTAAACTGACTTCCTTTAATGGAAAGCTTACAACTACATGGGAATTTCTTAATATACCACAGCAATGTTCACCACTGTTGTATTGTACAACCTTTTTTATATACTAACTACCTTTGTTAGAAGTTTTGGTGTATAATTTTGTAGCATGTTGGAGTCATGCTTTACTGCATGTTATTATGAACAATTATTATTATGTATATTAACACACCGCTATAAGCTGGAGCACTTTTGCAATAAAAGCCCTTAGTAACCTCGGTAGAGGACACAGAGTTGCTGGACAGAGAGTCACTCCGAGAGGAGAGCGGAGAAAACCGCTGATAACTGTTGACTGATGCTCGAACGTCTGCTGATGTTGCACCATTGGGCTTTGTTGTGCCCTCAAACTTTGACACAAGGGTTGAGACACGTGTTGTCGGGGCTGAGAATGCCGTAGGCGAACTGTTTCCACTAGCAGGGTTGCTGCAGGCAGTCACTGAAGCTCCAAACGTGCAATCCTTGTCCATCATGACAGAGTCCTACGCACAATTTGAAAATTGCATCAAAGCAAAATTAGCTAATCGTGCTAGCTAGCTAGTTACCTTGCGGATGACTCCAAACATGTGATCTAGCTCGGGCTCGCTGAGAGCACCCATGCTGACAGGATAACGCATCATCATGAAAATCTCTTGTCTGTTACCGTCCCCCATTTCAACGAGCTTGTAGTCGATGCGTTAGATTACACGTGTCCTATATAAAACGGCGCCTCCTTGCGCAGAGAAATCAACACTCGTAGCTATTATACTCTGATCATCACGGGGAAATACCCAGGGACTTGAAGCCGTTATACATGATGGGGGAGGTTAATCGGTGTGCATAACTAGAACATGTGGCATTGCGTGCGCCAGCGCCGATTAGATTAAGCTGAGCATGCGTGCTGGAAAATGGGCGTGGCGCTACCTACCGACGCGCACGCGCACACCCTTCTCTTTTCCATGTGCGCGCATGGGCAAAGGGAGGGGCCCCGTAACTTTAGCAGTTTTGTCAGACGAAATGTTTTTATCTCAGTCTGGATGGCTAGATCAGAGCTGTTACCGTCCCCCATTTCAACGAGCTTGTTAGTCGCTACTGCAAATCGGCCCCGCCCCTTGTTTATAGCCTGCGCGCGCATGCGCACTCGAACGCGCCTGGCTCGCGTGGGGGGTTGGAGCAACAAGTTGGAAATAGCCCTCCAAGTGCAGCAACATGTTAGTCGGGAGTAGATTTGATAAAAATGAGATGAAAGTCAGATACTGCATGATAGAACGGTGCTGATTAAAAGTTCAGTAGCTAAAAATGATTGAGATATCATGAAACGGATATTTGAGGAGTTGAATAATATTCTCTGAGTCGTACTTTAATTGCCTTTTCATCCATTGCACACTTACTTCTCTGCACAAAATACTCTGCCTTTCGTAGTGACACATCTGCAGAACTGGAGTTCTCTCCTGTTGACATGAAAATGTCGTATTCGTTAAGGTGATACAGGCCTTTACAGCGGTCATCCATTTTACTGTAAAAGTCTGCTGTTAGTTTTTGTTGGCAATCTCTTGACTTTTTAATGCGGTCCTCGTTCTTGCAAGCTGTGATTTTCGTCTCTGTTCTTCCAAGATAGAGCCTTCCTAGACGAAGGAAGGAGTATATTACGAGAATGTCCATGTCGTGCGTACGAGAAGAGTAGAAGAGAGATGTTTCAAACTTATGGATCACCTCCTGAAATTCATACCGCGATGACTTTTCAGTAAGGTTGGTAGCTGAAATTACGGCATCGCAGTAGGCAGCAAACGTCTTGTCTTCCCCAACTTCCACACTGAACAATATCTCCTTAGCTTCACCAATGTATTCTCTTGCTTGAACATTGTCACCAAGGTAATAATAGAGGAGGGCTAAGATATACTTACATCGTCCAGATAGAAATGTGCGGTTAGAGTTCTCTAGTTCCCTGCAAAGAACTTCGGCTTTGCCGACAAGATCTACAACATCCTTTTCAGAGACACGAAATACGTAGCTGAGGGCAAGCTCAAGGTGTCCAATTGTCTTGACTTCGACTACACCAGATTCCATACACTCTTGGGCTAGTGCATCACACATTGCCCACTGCCCACTGTGATAGTATTTTTCAAACTTGTGCCGTCTGTCGTGGTACTCTTGAGATGTGAGGGCCTCTCCACATGAAAGTTCGCATGGTTTCGTTTGTTGAGGGGAAGCGAGGACACCTTCGTCTGTTACAAGTGAGTACAAATCTTTGTGACCAATGTGTTGTTTCTCCTCACGTATGCAATCAACAAACAAGCAAAAAGCTGTCGGGCCTTTGCCCTTTAACAGTCTAAAAAGCTCAAAAATATCTTCATTCCCTTTTCCATTACCGAAGGAGGACGCTTCTTCCAGGGTTAAAAGACGCTTTTCTAGTAAGTGGGGCAACAACTCCTTTACATTTATGAATTGAACGACTTTTGTCATATTGGCCCGGAACACAGTTTCATACTGAGATGAAATCTGCAAAACACTTTCTTGGCTGAATTGCCTTCCTCGTCTGTGCAGCAAGAATGCAACGTATTCGTGTCCAAGGTGCTCATAGTGCTTACCTACGACGAAACACGAAGAAAATACGACGAAATTTCCCTTCTGACAACGGATTTTTCTTATAAACGCCTGGCGAGTGGTCCTGCTTTTGTCCACTGGATCACTAAAACTCAACAGACCACGCTCCACAAGAGTCGGTGCCAAACTAAGTAAGTTGAAGCTTTCCTCTATCCTGATCCAATCGTTATCGGAAAGGACCGAACTCATCGTGCGAGATTGTTGTTCTTGGACGGATGGTATTCCCCTGGGTTATCCCCTATTACCAACGCAATGCGCATGCCAGTGCGCTCAGCATGCGCACTTTAATATTTCGCCCCAAACGCGCCCGCTCATAGCTGCAACACACGAGCCTGAAAATCTTCAGCTTCAAGTTCGCGCAACCGACAACGGTCTACATAATAATTATAGCTACAATCCTACATTCATACTTTTTGCCAACTTTCTAAGGATGCAACCGCAATGAAGGTCAGAAACTTCGAACGGTTTTCTCTGAAATCTGAAAATGCTCTATTGCAAAGCTAGAGCGCTTCCAACATTGTACGGCTAATGCATTATAGTCGGCCATTTTTATCGCTGCGGAAAATGCGCATGCGTTATAATGCTAATTGTAGCACAATGCACAAGCTTACCTCGACGGGGCCCGCTTGCTCTGTGTATCTTAAAACCCTTTGAGCGCATGCACAGAATTGCGTGGGTCATTTGCAATCGCCATGCGCGTGCGCGGAAAAACACGCGTCTTTAGCAAAGACGTGAGCGACCGTTGTAGCCGGGAAGTGTGTCGATTTCTACACTCTCAGTTCTGCAAGAGCAAGCTGAACTAGCCTGTACCGAGCGTAGTAAACTATAACAACGGTATAGCGGCGGAAATAGGCAGCCGCTTTCTCGTGCGCAGGCGCGAAGAGATCGCGCGTAGGAAGTAGGCGTGAACCCGGGGGACAAGCCTGTGTTGTTCTGTAAGCTGTGAACAACCGAGACTGGAAACTCCCGCCACCGGTAAGCGGAGGAAAGCGATGTATGCGGACATGTGACAGAGCGTATATATATATACGCCTCCCGCGGGGAAGGGGGGGCGGGTCCGACGGCGTATATATTCCCGCGTTGAACGGTTAAAGGCACAAGAAGTCACAACGAAGGGCGTGTGTCGACTCCCGCATGCTATCTACTACTGTAGCTAGCTAGCTGCTAGCGGGAGACCACCACGAAATAGCCCAGCCCATCAATTAGCGGTACCGCGCATGCGCAGTTCGCCGAGGGTTTGCACTGTAGCTCTGGAAAGTTTGCATGCATATCAGTGCCAGAGACCTCCATCAACAATAATTTTTATCATCAGCAGTATAATAAATCACACAGTCATTAGGATATGTTGAGGTGAAATATTTTAATCCTGTAAAGATTATAGATGTCATAATTTTCAAACTATTGAATTACCTTATTTCTTGTGTGCAGTTTTTGGCAACAATGTTCTTCTGCACTAACTCAATAATATGTGATTCAACCTCTGAGACATCAGTTGGATTTAATTGGGTAGTAAACAAAAACTCTATGACAATGGTGGGAATGAGATCACTTGTTGTGCTTTGACCTTTTCCTGATTTTAAGAAAGATGGCAACTTAGCAAACACATGAGTTGTTAGAATACACACCATTCATTTTACTCACCAAACGAATAAGCTGGTGCAGTCCTGCAGTAAGGTTGAGTTTGCATCCCTTCATTTGAAAAGGCTCCAAGGGTACATTCGTAATTCCACAAGTTTTGTATCTGTTAATGAACAAGGTGAGGGAATACAGTGGAACCCCTCTAAGGCGGACGACTTAGAGCCACAACATTTTGTCCATTATAGCGGGGTGTCCTTTATGGAGGGGTTTTGCCTGATTATACAGTATTACACAATTTAATGTCACTAATTCACTGTTAAAAGAACTCTAGACAAGATTAAACGGGATTATGATGATGATGATGATGATGATGACAGTAGTCAAAGTCTATAGAAAGTACTCATCCAGTGTACTCTGTCTATCCAAAGCTAAGGTATTGTAGCTACTACGCAGGAATCAGCATCAGAGAATTGCCACCAAGTCTGCCGAGGAGAGAGAGGGTCGACTACAGTTACTATACGACGCAGGAATCATGTGCTACCTGCGCATGCGTCAGGATAACGCGCTTCTACAGGTGCTAGGATTGCTCGTGCTCGCTCCCGCTCGGCAAAAATGCCATGCGTTCGCCTACTAGTACGAACTAGTAAGAACTAGTTGACGCTCTTCGCACTGATGGACGTATTTAAAGCAGTTTCTGTTGTAACCATGTTGTTATCGCTGGCAGGGGGTGTGGCAAACTGTCCGTTACGCGGGGTTTTTTTCTACGTTGAAAAGCATTTGGGATTGGTTTTACTGTCCGTTATACGGAGTAGCGGGGTGTCCGTTCTGGAGGGGTTATGAACGTACGGAACTCTATGATAAAACAATCGGGACCTGCGAGTTTGTCCGTTTATAACGCGGTGTCCGTTGTAGAGGGGGTGTCCGTTAAGCGGGTTCACCTGTTACTTCTGTTCTTTGAGACACAGACCCGTCTGAATACGTGAGGAATGGATGTTCGATGGTGCTTGTGTTCAACTGGGATACAGCACTGAGGATACAATGTTCAACAGTAAAATGAGCCAAGAGTAGATCCTATTGGCTTTTGGCAGCATTGCATATTGGCTGGCTTGTAGAGCGCGCGGCGGCACCATCCAACATCTATGAAATCATGGATGTAGATACATAGTTCCGCATCAGAAAGTATTGATAACTGACATCACTACTTGGTCCTCTGAATCCTGCCAATAAAGTGTTTCCGAGACAATTTTTTCAATCAAACTGAGCTGCATCAGGTAGTATTGCCTTCGTGTGTGTAAGCACGTCCACCAGGATAGTGTCGTCAGAGAAGAATGTCTGAAAACAAATTGCAGTTGTGTTCTATATATATATATGAGTAAGCCACCAGATAATCAGACGCCATGTATTCTCGGACGCATTTGTGAAGTCTGTGCAGTTGGACTAGATTGGCGTACTGTGTATACCAAGTGTAGTTCTTGTCATAAACTGTTGTATAAAAATATTTCCTCTTATCCGAGCTTTACGCGAAAGCAGTTTCGGCTTGTTTCCTAACACCGCGCGGATGGAAGAGAAAAATTTTATATATTATTAATACTCCTTAACGTGCCCTCACTATACAAGTTTTCTAGACAAATAGTTATGGAAAGCAGGTTAAAAGGTGTCATTTCAAAGGGTCTTGGTTACAGTTTTACTTGTACACGCCATCGTGCACAGCTTTGTGGAAAGACGCTTTGTGGAACTGATAACTACTCCTTACGTGTAGCAGTTTTGCAGTAGCTGTGGCTTTTTTGCACGTACCTACTCATCATACTGACACGGCAGACTTAATAGCCTATCAGAGGTGTAGCGGTGGTATATCCTGCGTGCAGCGTACCAAATATGATCCACTGAGGCTCTGCCAGTGGGTGTGTCAGTCATAGCTAATATTAGCTACTCCACGAAGAGGCTATCATTATAGCTACGAGCTAGTCTAGACATGATCCACGCTGTTTTCTACTATACCGTCAGAAGGTTGTCTAAGACTCTTCTGTGGCGTTTTTCAACCCAGGCAGGGCTAGTGAACGTTTCATAATAAGCGCTCCTCTACTTTACCGGAGAAGACCCGTCGGTGATACGAGCCATCTTGCAATTGAGCGACGGGGACTGCCAGCCACCGGAAGTTTCCTATAGCTGGTGCGGCGGTAGTGTATCTCTACGACGATAGGGGGCGGCACGCAGGCCAGCAGGCTGGTTCCTACCCCAAAATCAGTCATGTCCATTCTACTCCCACTGTGTCCCAGATGGATCCATGTTTGAGTCCTTCGTATCTTATAATCTTGCAACACGGAGTAAGCTTATGTCACTGCAGGGTGTATACTGAACGGTGTGTTACAATAAGAAGAATGTATTCCTGAACTGGGAGAAACAACTCGCTCTAGTAGATGTAGCAACAAATGCTGCTGTGTCGTTTCACAGAAACACGACCACGACCACTCCCAAAATACCGTCTTTGTATGCACTAGTGGTGGTGCAGTCACTACAATGAGTAAGAGGTAAAAACAATGATAAAGTGATGGTAGCAAGGAAAGGAGGAAATAAGACAGGGCATTCATAGTTTGTTTTTTGTATTGATTATGATGTGGGTTGAAGGGGGATCTTCAGCTGGGGGTTTATTGATGTGCGCAATTAAAACACATTGCTGTCTACTTGATCCGAAAATAATTGCTTCTGGCTTGAAATGAAACAGCTATCTCCTACACTGAAGTGACACGCCGGTATATTATTTCATTGTAGTCGGTTTCATTCCAAAAAGAATTACATTATCTGTTGCATGAACTGGTAAGTAAGTCCAGCTTCAGCGTAGCCCGTGAAAAGTAATAACTGTTCTTCGGGTGCATGGAAATGTAAACTTCAGTGTAACTGTTTTTTTTGTGGCCTACTGTCAGTTGTGATGGAAAATAGCATTAGTGTCTCATCGTTATCACCAGCAACCAAAAGTAGAATAGCTGTCATAGTTGTCAAAAAAAAATACAAACTTGGGAGATTTGATTGGGTACATTGTGGCCAGATCTAAAGGTTTATGTGACATTGCTTCCTGCAAGAGGATAATAGGGGTTCAGCTGGCCTGCTCTCCAAACTCATACGTTGGATATGTCAAAGTCAGATTTCTGCTCTGAAAGTTGATGGTAGTGAAGTGGTTTTTCAAGGTGCTTTACATGGAACAAGAAAGGCATCAATGGCGTGATTAGAATCGCCTGTTTGTAAAACAAGAAATTCCTTGTAGTGTTATTTCGAGAGTAAATAAGAAGGGTTCAGTCGTGATAACAGGACTGTATCGCCCTCCTTACTCTTTTATTGTTGATGATGAGTTGTTGTTGATATGCTACAGTTGCAGTGAGCCAATGCTGCAAGTACGACAATCAAAACCATGGTGTAACCCATTGCTAGCCATATTCTTTTTTCTGTTGTCTAGTTGCATGATAAAAAATTAGTACAAACATACACACAACCCAGACATTACAACCTTGTTTAATAGTCGTCCATAGTTATCTTTCTCTTCAATTGCCATGGTATTACTAACTATATCCCCTGATGGGAGATTAATCGTTATGCAGCGTCGGAAGGAAGGAGTTCGTACCCTACCTTGTGGTCAGTTGATAGGAGAGTAATCCATGACTGGCAGCAAAGTTGAAACCATGCGAACTCGCGGGAAAGAGAAAACCTAAAACGCTAACATTGAGCCGTTGGTAATGACACAGCAGTAATTGTTATTCGGTAGCACGCACTACACGCACCACCTGTTATATACACTCCGAACGCCGCTGCGATAGGTAAAGACTTGCGGTGTACCAATGCGATGACATCACGGGTCCTTATATAATATTTGCTTGTCTGTTTGAGTTTGGCAGTGGGGAATTGAACATAGCGATGAGTTCTGAAGATGAGTGGTGCTTTCCTTTCCTCGGGCTGGCTGCAAGCAATTAATAATGACGAATGAGTCTCGTAGGAGTTAAAACCAGTGCGTGCATGATGAAGATCGCTACGAGAAACCAAAGCAGTCTCAGCTAGCGATTGAGCACCGAGCTGCCTGCCCAGCGACGATGACGGTATAGTACTGACGGCATTTTAAAAGTGCAGCACGGATCAGCATTATACGTAGCGTATACAGCGCTTGCTGTTTCCCTGTAGCGCTGTCAAGTGGGACAGTCGTAAGGCGTGAACATGTCTCTATTGTGCTAAAGATTTTTCCGCACTCTTAGCTAGGTCGCTGATGGTCGTGCGATATGGGCGGGGTTCTGTGCAGAGCGACTCACGTCGTGCATCGCGCCTTCGGGTATATACAACCACCCTCTCCTGTCGCTCGAGGTCCCTCACAGTCAATTGTGTCAACATAAACAAATGTTGTTCTGAGCTTAGCCACTTTTGCATGAGCATTGTGTCACCGATAACGCCAATTGGCTTGCGTAGTCACCAGTGGTACGACATAGATAGTTCAATAAGAGCGGTAGATGGGTCCACAGCTATTTGTATATAATGTCGACACTTCATTACGTCAGTTACATTAGATGCAGAGGATGTAGACTAATAATCAGCTTGTTTAAGTCATTTTCCGTTAGGTTTTGTGTTTTTTGCAAATTCTAATATCACATCGCCACGGTGTTGAGGAATATCTGTCAGATGAAAGTGTGTTGTTTGTTTTTATATTCCGACGTGGTATCTTTTTATATGCACTGTGCGGCATTATTTTTTAGTATGCATTCAAAGAGAATGACCAGCCGTGCGTATCTCCAGGAGCACTAGTTGAACTAGTGAACTACTCGACCCATACTTCTTATATGACAAAGTCCAACACTAAGTGAAGAAGGAGTAAAAAGCCAGATGCACAATCTACTTTGGAGAGACAAACAACTGCGAAGCAAAAGTTGCAGAAAACGACATTATTTTCTCATCAGAAGACAAGTACCTTCCTTTCCTCATCCTGACAGTGTGTGGATATCTCTCACCAAGTTACTTTTAAGGGGTCGACGCTGCATTTAGCACCAGCATGACCTAAAGTCTCATTTAACATTGTCCTACAAAGTTGTGCCGTTTTCATGATGAAGAGTCACTGATGGCACTCACTGAAGCAGAGACGAGAGACGCTATAAATTCAGCAAGCAGAGAAGAAAGGAAAGTGCTTGAGTATTGACCACGGTCATCAATGTACACTAATAGACATAGTACCAGCCGAGCAATGGTGTACTATTACTATGCCATATCGCGCACTCTAAGCTCACCAGAAGGACGCGTGTGAATATTGTATCATACTTGGCATGTGGTGTGCACGCTGCGCAAGCTCGACAACGAGAGTGACTTTGCAGCCACGAGATTGTTCCGTCACATTGATAATGAGTGCGCATTTTCACCAGATCTGACTTTGGTGAGACGAGCAAACGCATAAGAAAACCCTTCTGCATCTTAGCCTTTATAAACCTAAACCAACAACAGGTTCGCACCTCCACAGCTCACGAGCACACGCACAGGATAC